AAGAGAGTTGAAGAGGGGGAAGAGGAGAGAGAAGGTGAAGAAGGGGAAGAGAGAGACGAGAGAGTAAGAGGGAAGAGAGAGAGGAGAGATGTGAAAGAAGGGAAGAGAGAGAAGATGAGTGAAAGAAGAGGAAAGAGGAGAGAGAATTGAAAGAAGCGGGAAGAGAGGAGAGAGGTGAAAGTAAGGGGAGAGAGAGAGAAGTGAAAGGAAGCGGGAAAGAGAAAGAGAGTAAAGAAGGAGAAGAGAGAATGAGGAGAAAAGAGGGAAAAGGAGAAGAGACAAGAGAAGAAAAGAGAGAGAAGAAGAAAGTAGAGGAGAAAAAGAAGAGAGAGTAAGAAGGGAGAAGATAGCACAGAGAGTTGAAAGAGTGGAGAAGAGGAGAAGAGAAGTGAAGAAGAGAGAGAGAGAGAAGAGGAAGAAAGGGGAAGAGAGAGAGATTGAAAGAAGGGGAAGAGAGAAGAGTGAAAAAAGGGGGAAGAGAGAGAGAGCGGAAAGAAGGGGAGAGAGAGAGAGAGCGTGAAAGAAGGGGAAGAGAGGAGAGAGTAAAGAAGGAGAAGACAGAGAGAGAGAGAGTGAAAGAAGGGAAAGACAGAGAGAGAGATGAAAGAAGGGAAGAGAAGAGAGAGAGAGTTGAAAGGAAGGAAGAGAGAAGAGAGAGATGAAAGAAGGGAAGAGAGAAGAGAAGGAGTGAAAGAAGGGAAGAGAGAGGAGAAGAGAGAAGAGAGAGGTGAAAGAAGGGAGAAGAGGAGAGAGAGTGAAGTGAAAGAACGGGAAAGAGAGTGAAAGAAGGGGGAAGAGAGAGAGAGATGAAGTAAGAAGGTGGGAAAGAGATGGAGAGGAGTGAAAGAAGGGGAAAGAGAGAGAAAGAGAGAGAAAGAGAGAGAGATAGAGAGAGTGAAGAAGGGGGAAGAGAGAGAGAGAGTGGAAAGAAGGGGAAGAGAGAGAGAGAAGAGTGAAAGAAGAGGAGAGGAGTGAGAGAGAGTGAAAGAAGGGGGAGAGAGAGAGAAGAGAGTTGAAAAAGGGAAGAGAGGAGAGAGAGGAAAAGGTAAGAGAGAGGAAGAGGAGGTGAAGAACGGGAAGGAGGAAGGAGAGAGAGTTGAAGAAGAAGAGAGAGAGAAGAGTGAAAGAAGGGGGAAGCAGAGAGAGAGAGGTGAAAAGAAAGGGAAGAAGAAGAGGAGAGAGGAAAGAAGGGGGAAGAGAGACAGGGAGAGAGATGAAAAGGGGGGAGAAGAAGAGAAGAGAGAGTGAAAGAAGGGAAGAGAAGAGAGAGAGGAAGAGCGAGAAAGGAAGTGGGAAGAGAAGAGAGAGGAAAGAAGGGGAAGAGAGAGAGAAGAGAGAGCGAAAGAAGGGAAGAGAGAGAGAGAGAGAGAGCCGAAAAGAAGGGGAAGAGAGAGAGAGCAAAGAAGGCAAAAGAATGAAAGAAGGGAGAAGAGAGAGAAGAGAGAGAGTAAAGAAGGGAGAGAGAGAGAGAGAGGGGTGAGAAGGAATGAGGAAGAGAGAAAGAAGGGGAAGGAGAGAGGAGAGAGAGAGGGAAAGAAGGGGGAAGAGAGAGAGAGAGAGAGTGAAAGAAGGGGGAAGAGAGAGAGAAGAGAGAGAGTGAAGAAGGAAGAGAGAGAGAAGAGAGAGTGAAAGAGGGGAGAGAGAGAGAGAGAGTGAAAGAAGGGGAAGAGAGAGAGAGGAGTGAAAAAGAAGGGGAAGAGAGAGTGAAAGAAGGAAGAGAGAGAGAGAGAGAGAGTGAAAGAAGGGGAAGAGAGAGAGAGAGAGAGAGAGTGAAAGAAGGCGGAAGAGGAGAGAGGAAATGAAAGGGAAAGGGGAAGAGAGAGAGGAAAGAAAGGGAAAGGGGAGAAGAGGGAGGGTAAGGTAAGAAAGAAAGAAAGATTTCGTGTGTATGTCCACTAGCGAATCGAGAGACATGCTCTTACATTCGCACTTAAGAGATACTGTTAACATTTCTTAACTAAATTACTACATCTTTACCAAAGGACATTAACATTTACAACTAAGACGTTAATTCCAGCGCCCTTGTTTACATCAAAGAAATTCTTCCTAACTTTTCCAAGCTAAACTTACTTTATTTTATCTCCTACAGCCTCAGAACTGCCTCCGAAGACGTGAGTTCCCAGCTGAGTCGTGCGGTGGATTCGGCGACGGCGCTGCGCAACCAGCTGGACAATCAGATGTTGCGTCTGAGAGGCTTTAATGTTTTTGCCGAATTCAGGTAATCGTTTTATTGTTTTTCATTTGTTTTTATTTTGTTAGTGATGTGCTAAAGAATTCGAGTTTTTTTTCTTTCTTTCTTCTTTCTTTTCTTTTCTTTTTTTTCTTTTTTCTTCTTATATATAAGTTTAGTTTCTCTAAGTTTTGTTAGGCTTTTATTGTCTTTTAGTTATTTTTCACGAATGCTCTAATTCCTTTAAGTTACGTTAAATATTTTTGCTGAATTATTTTCCTGTGTTTACTCCCTACAAGTTATGTTAGGGATTTTATATTTAGTTATTCATTGATGTATTAATTAGTATGTTAATTAGGCTTGTTTTCCTTTAGTTTCTTCCGTTGGTATAACGAATTCCTGTAAGTTATGTTTGTTTTTTTATAGCGATATATAATATATCAGTTTTTAAGATTCATTACCGTAAATTACATATACAATCATTGTCATCATAAACATTTAATATCCATCACTTACCGATTTATTAGAACAGAATCAGGTTTGTGAAAAGGCGACATTTATTTACATTTATTTAACTCATTATTATATACACCTTTCATCATCGTCATAAACCTTGAACAGCTTATAACTAATCGATGGATTTATGATAAGAAAATCGGGTTTGTGAAAAGAGCACATCCATTTAAAGAGAAACTGATCGATTCATTAAAGAGAATTCGTTGTGTAAAGACGATATTTATGTACAGATTAGCATCCATTACTGAACGATTTGTTAAGACAAAATTAGGTTTGTGAAGAGATGATATTTAATTACAGGGTAAGAATGTTACTATTATCACACTTATTATACTTCTGCTTATTTAATTTGATTACAGGGAAACAATTTAACTATTATCACATTCTTGATACTTTTACCTATTCAAATTTAATACAGGGAAACCATTTAACAAGCTTTATACTTGTATTCATTAAATTTAATTGCAGGAAACCATTTAACAATCTTATATACTTATTATTCAATTTAATTACAGGGAAACCATTTAACAAGCTTCTATACTTTTACTTATTCAATTTAATTACTGGGAAATCGTTTAACAATCTTGATACTTATACTTATTCAATTTAATTACAGGAAACCATTTAACAATCTGTATACTTTTACTTATTCAATTTAATTACTGGGAAATCATTTAACAATCTCTATACTCTTATTTATTCAATTTAATTGCAGGGAAATCATTTAACAATCTCTATACTTTATATTTATTCAATTTAATTGCAGGGAAACCATTTAACAATCTTTATACTTTTACTTATTCAATTTAATTACAGGGAAATCATTTAACAATCTCTATATTTTTTATTTATTTAATTGCAGGGAAACAACGGCCGAGCAGCGCGGTCTCATTGTTGACGTTTTCGACCGCGTGTCCCAACTCCAGTCACTCGTCATGGGAGAATTCACGTGGTTTTATTCTGTGAGTATTGTAGTCTAGGGTGTTTGAAGGGGGTTTCCATTCGTCGTTCTCTCTGTTGTTCGATGGTGGTAGTTCGGATTTATTTGTTTCTCATTGATTTCCATTATTTCACCATGTTTTCACCATATTTTTTTTTTTCCGTGTATGGCATAACTCGTATCTTTCGTCTGTAAACCTCTTACCCCACGAATCCAGTTCATTTTCAAAACGGCAAAAAAGAATATTAAGAAAGACATAGTAAAATCTGATTTAATTCATAACCTTATCCCAGACACAAACGTCACCCCTATTTTCATCTTCTTTCAATTTCCATCTTCCTCCCTTCCATTGTCTCTAGAATCTTCGAACACATTCACACACACATAATTAATCATCTTGACGCAAACCACATTCTAACTTGATACGCAACATTCCGACACAAACGATTATGCGAATCCCAACTCACTGTCCCTCATCACAACATTGCCAGACTTCTAGACACGTGAACAGGTTTATACAATGATGTTAGACTTTGCCAAAGCCTTTGCGAAAGTCCCCCACAAGAGACTGACTCAAAAACATCAATTTTACGGAATCACGAAATCGCAGCTTGTCTTTCTAACGATATTCAACTCTTTTCTTCTTGATGATACTGTATCTAACCATGTCCTTGTCTCTTCTGGTGTTGCTTTGGGCACCGCCTTAGGTCCTCTTCTTTTCCTACTGTATGTAAACGATCTCCCATATTAATCACTAATTCTACAGCTAAACTACTTGCTGGCGACAGCCTCATCTGTCAACCGATCAAGACGCCTAACGACTATAAACTACTCCAAACTAACCTAGACTCCCTCGAGCAATGGGAAACCACACGGCAAATTAATATCAGGCACGACGAACGCAAAACAATTTACCGGTTAAGAACCATAAAATGTTCGCACTCAATTCACTCCAACGGTTATCCAACATATCATACACAAATACTTGGCAACACACTACACACCATCACGGAGTTCAATACACACAGACGACAACATACAGCACAAAACAAACAAAACACTGGGTTTTCTGAGGGGGATTCTACAGCGTTGTACACAAGACACAAAACACATAGCGTAGATCACACTTGTCCGCTTATTAATAAACTAGAAAAGATAGACTGCTCCAGGCGGGTACATTACAATCACACTAAAATTAATGACCTCACAACTAATACAGGTATCACTCATTCTTTCCACGTACCACTCGTGACTGAACAGATCCTCAGAATATACAATGCACTCAAACAAAACAGACACCTTCCACCAACTCACACCAGCACACCTCAGAACATACATAAACACAATCTTCCCAACAGCCAACACACCCAAGCGATATAAGCGCCCACGTACAGCGCCCTACCATACGCTTTAACCAAATTGAGATCTTTCCATCCCCAGGTTGTCTTTTACGTGAGTGGTGTCCTCGTAACACTCGTAGCCACCTGCACACCGAGGACCGTGAGTGCTCGTCTGCCTCTCCTCACTATCCTCGCCTTTTCCCTCACTTTGGAACGAGCGGTGACGGCCTGGATCCTCGCGAACACACACGTCGACTCGTTCCAGGTAAGGGTGATCGTGCAAGAAAGCCTAAGTTAGTGTGTGAGAGAGAATTCTGTCTAGTGTTGGGAACGTAACTGCAAAACACCGATATTGTGTTGTATTGGCCAAGGAATGTGTATTTTGACGTTCTTTGTTTGTTATGATACTCTGCATAGTTTGTTTGTTTTTTTATTCAAGAGGACCCGACTTTGACCTTGAGGTAACCCTCGGTATAAAAGAAATATTGCAAATAGATAAACCAAAATGAATGATAAAATGCTGTCGACGACAACTTCTGATTTTATTGTGTTCATTATTGTATTGCCTGTAAGAATAACAATTTTCAGTTTGTAATACAGACCATAGTAATATGTTAATCTTATATTACAATAATAACACGGATGTTGGTAAATTGTTACTTTAGCTATATTTTTTACATCGTCGTGGTATTATAGATCTAGCTACGATTATGAATTCTAGATTAATATTGCTTACTAGTCTTTCGCAGTATTTTACCGTTACCAAGGGTTGGGGACACCCTGCTCTTTTATTTTCTGGTGCTCCCCACCTTCACACACACACACACACACACACACACACACACACACACACACACACACACACACACACACACACACACACACACACACACACACACACACACACACACACACACACACACACGCACACACGCACACACACACGCACACACACACACACACACACACACACACACACACACACACACACACACACACACACACACACACACACACACACACACACACACACACACACACTGTTTATTCATTATGATTTTTCTTTTTTCTTTTTTCTTTTTCTTTTTTTCATAAAGTCAGTCCTTAGCCTGGGAGTGCCTCTGGCAGGGGCACTCCTATCTGTTAACCCGGCTCCTCACCCGACCAAACGAGGCTCCTAAACTGTGCATGGCTTATTCTCATCTCAATTACGTTATTAAATATATATATATATATATATATATATATATATATATATATATATATATATATATACCATATGATATTTCTCAAACTGCAAATATTACAAAGTATAGTTGTAGAATCATAACTGATATATAAATACAGTAGACTATGCATCAATCTTAATAAAACATTGTATCTTGTAGATCGAAGTCCACACGGCGGTATGGGCTATTCGACGAGGCTGTGTGGGTGTGTGTTTCCTCTCTCTCATCCGCGCTGTGCTCTCCTACAGGTGGGTTTTGGTGATTCGCAATTGTATATTAATAAGGCTATCTTTTGTATATTGTGTGTTCCTATCGCTGAGAATTATATTGTCTGAGCCGTGTGACTGCTTTCATTTTCATTGAAGAAGTTTGTATGCCTATTATTTGTATGTAGTATTATTTTAATTATATGATGAAAAGGTCATTTTTTATTATGCTAGTTTACCACTTAAACAACTTCGACTGAACCAAGGAAACAAAGACCATTGACAAAATTAGAAAGGGTTCTGAGAGAGAACTAATTCCCAAATGAAAGATATTTAATTGACGTTTCAGTGTTAAATCTCCTTCAGGCGGGCATTATTACGTCATATATTTGTTACACATCTTGCCTTCTGAAATTATTCATTCACATGTATATATATTATCCCTTCATCTCAAATGTGACCCCCTCAGTCTCATGCCCGTTCTTACCTTGGGGAGAGAGGAGGCATACGGGTTGAGTCCAGTGGTGGGTAACGTGAACTTTTGCACGGTCTTTTTTTTTCCCGTTTTTTCTTCTTCTCCAACTCCCTTCCGACCAGTCCCTAAGAAGTAAGAGCCGTGCTGAAAGGATGAAAGGCTGGCTTTGCGTCAGTCCTGATCGCCCTCGGGGAGACATGGGCACAGTAATTCACCTTGGTTAATCGCCAAGCCCTTGCCCGACACGGGGATCCTGAGAGGAGGACGGTTCCTCTTCTCAGCATATTTCAGGATCACCATGGCCAGTAATGAACATTTTGTACGATCGTTCTGGCCTTGACACTTGCATCAGAGTCCCAAGCTCGTTCATTATCAACCCTGACTGATCTCGCCGGCAATCTTGTTCCTGCCCATCCTCACTCCTTTGATATTTGTACCGGAACCATTTCCATCTTGCCGGTTGGCAGGCCTGTCCACGACACGGATTGATCAGACGTGAGAAAGACTTGCTTGTCTGCCTTGTCTCATTCCCCTGATTCTTCTACTTCTCCGACGCCCATTTCTACCCTTTAGTGCCCTTTGATTGCTTCATGATGGCTCTTTTGCACTGTTCCTCTACCTTTCTCAGATGCATAGATTCTCTCCATTTCTTCTAATTCGTCCTTAACCCCCTTCCCCCTTTTACTAACCCCCGCCTTACGCCGTTTGTTCCCCACTCTATCCTTTTCACTGTCATACTGTCCCATAGCGCTCTGTCACCTTTGACATCTAACACGTTTTGTTTAATCAAGTATTTTTTATCCTTTTCACCACAATACTGCTGTGATGTCTAGCACATTTATTTGTTTTAGCCATTAACCATTATCCATCTTCCTGTATGAAACTTTCTATTCTCATTTATATATTATCCCTTTCTCGATTTGTATCCTTAAGCTGTCCGGACTAATGACTAATCTTTTACACATGCCAGAGACCCCGTTGCTGTCACAGCTGCGCGTTTGGAAGAACTCGCGTCAGCAACGAGCGAAATCAAGAAACTGATGAATAATACTCCAGGTATGCTGCCGTGTTTATGCAAGGGGTTTAGATAGGCTATTGAAAAACGGACAGTTGGCTATACGAATGATGGAGTATGGTGTATATATATTATGCAGGACCTCTCATTTCTCAAGACAAGGGTCATGGGTAATTAGCTGCCCTTCTTTTATTTCGATTTTTTTCTCCTAATAGATAGATAGATCCTCGACGTAATCGCAGACACTTCTGTTGTCTTTGGGGAGTGTGAAATATAGTATTTCGAGGAAATAATTTATTCGTTTTAATTCTCAAGAGTAACATTAATGATGAAAATAAAAAAAACGGTGTATTCTGTCCCACAGCAGGTGCCTTGGAGCTCACCAGCACAACACTAGCCAGTCTCTCTCAAGTCCTGAATGATAGTGCTTCTTCTGACGACACGTATGAGCCTAGTGATCCCTCGGATATCGAAGACCAGTTGCTTGATGATTATGATGTTAGTATTGTTCTGGATTTCCTGCGGAATTAGTGTTTTTGTTTACTTTTTTGGTGTAATGGAGTGCGTTTATGGTTCAAGGTATATGTTGCGTAATCTTTCGTTTGTATTATATTGTCAAGGTCAGTTTCCTCGCTAAACTTGAGCACTGTCGTTATCGATAAACCCGGTAATTCGAGAAATTTCCCTAACACAAAATCTTTCCAGTTCGAGAAGGATTCGGGAAATAGGTCGAGCTCAAGGTACTCCCTGAGGAGGCGACAGAACGACACGAAAGTCCAGAACCCGGTGGTGAGCATGGAGAGTCCAGAGGCCTTCGGCAGGACAGTCCGCCGCATGGAGAATATTTCCATGCACCGGTCGCGAGCCCAGGTCCGGCGTCTGTCCAAGAGCACGCAGAAGGCTAGCGTGACGAAGATTTCAGACCTCTCTTTTGGCCACTTCGCAGACAGGACGAAAGATTCTGGGATCGAGTCTCTGTCTGGTTAGATTATTGTGGATTTTTTTCTCTCCTTCAAGAAGCTCGAGTTGCTAGTTGAGTGATTTCCTTTTTTAATGTCTATAAAACGATACTTTCGTAGTTTTTAAAGTTTTTAAAGATATTGTTAGCTATGCTGTCTAATGTACAAACATCTATCAGTAACAATTTATTCTGATGATTATTAGGGTCAGCGGTCACGTGATCAACTACAGTTTTGTTACATGCAACTACAAAATTGTATCATGTAATCCAAAGTAAGTGGATAGGCTTATTTACTTATTTAATTTACATAGCTTTTTTTTAGCATATCAATAACGATTTGTCTCGGGGTGCTGATAATACTTATTAAATATCTTACTGTAAACGGCAATTTTTTTTCTTACTTGGAGCCAAGATATTAAATCAAGCATAGCTATTTTTTAATATTAATTTTAAATTTCTGCCCTACGGTAAATTTTCTTAATGTATGTATATATCTTCATTAATGTAATCATATACGAGGTTTTACACTTGTTAAGTGCTAATAAAGAGTACATATGAAGATTGATAAGGTTGACTGTCCTATAAGAAAACCTTTGTAAAACAGTGAGTAAACTTTTGGCTAATCTATATTATTAATGGACCTAAATATATATGCAATCCTGTTGAATTCTATACTGAATCCATTACAATTTATTTTAAAGGACTTTGATAAAAGTATATGCTTTTCCTCATAGATAATTTAAAGCAGATCTTGCAATCCCTTTACACGAGAGATTTCTGCAATGTGTCACCATCCTTAAACTTAAAATACTCCATGGAACCAATAAAACCCCTTAAAAATTGTGAACATTTATTTAATAAAGAAAAAATCTCCTTTTATACATTCTTCCACACCAGGCAGATGATATAATGATATTTACATCTGAAACTGTACATGCTGGTGAAAAAATAATACATTACATTATGAGAGGGAAATTAGTAACGTATGCACACACACCTTTTTTTCCCCACTTGCATTTTCACTGACCAACTATAAATTAACTAACCAAACCAGGTTCTGAGAGGTGACATCTTCCTTCTTGCTTTGAATGCAAAATAGAAACAGACTACATTATTTAGACTATGTTATTTAAAACTTTTCTTCACTACAATTTTATTTTTTTTTTTGTCCTTTCATTTTCTTTCTTCTAGTTGGCAAAGAAAAGACTACACAGCGAGATGCATACCAGTAAATTGTAGAATATATACTTTCCTGCATTTTTATTAGGTCTGCCATGAGTCTTACCAGGGAGAAAACTGTGCAAATAGTAACTCCAAGTGAGAGACAGACACACACTACATGCACTTCTCTGGATAAGAAGGAAGCAACTACCTGTACACAATGTAGTTGGTGAAATCATTCCTTGTGCACCTGACGATCCATTGGTAGTGATCTGCCATACACATTTATGTACTCGTCTTCAATCGACTTCCTATTCCAGCCATTGTCTTATGCAACTCTTTGTACATAACTAACAATTTAAGGAAACATGATCAAGCTTTTCTGTAACTTTAAAAAAAAAACACATTAAACTGACCTACACACGAACTGAGTGGTCCACTTGTATCTGCTGATGTCATATGTTTAAAGATCTTTAACGAATGGACTAATATTTTGCAATTCTCAAGAGCCATAGCCTCCAGCACAGTAGAACCCAAAGCACACTCCTTTGGTCATCAGGTAATATTCATGTGTGATCTTGTGAAAAATAATGCAATAAAACTTCTTTTCTGAGTGTGACACTGAACTCTTTGTGTAACCTGCAAACTTCTTACTGTACATTATAAGCCCTCACAAACTATATCAGCATCTGTTCAATTAACACTTAAACGGAAGAACAGAAAAACCAAACCAGTAATATTTGGAAAGTTAAGTAACACTACGTTTAAGTAATTTCTGCTTAAGACTGCTGCTGCATATATTAATTTTGAAAGAAAGAAAGAAAAAAAAAGCTTTCTTATTGTAAAATGCAAAATCAATTAAGTTTCTACTTATTTGGAAATCGATAAATACATTTGCAAATTTCTTTCCAGAGAACACACTCCTATAATTATCAAAATCATGAAAGGAAGCAACCTATTCATGTATCACAAGACAAGTACAAAAATTGCCTGAAGAGCCTCTATTGCAAACTTTACATATATATATATAGATATATATATATATACACCTCATATTACTGAGATAATAAATGGCTGCTGTATCAATACAGTAAAAACATGCTATCACTTCTCTGGCATATGTGAACCTCCTCTTTACATGAATTAAAAGAGTGAGAGAAAAAAAAGAGACATATTGATAATAAAGTACATAAACATGACTAAATGCTCTTTGCATCACAGATTAGTTGTACACACTTCACACAATGGATCATGACAATAACATAATTTTAGCAAGTAGACTGAAAACATCAGTCTCTCAGTTAGTGTCAGTTTTGTATCCATATTCTAATGCGTAATGCAATCATGTACCAGCAAAATAATGACTCTGTAATCTTCTTAAAATTACATCACAAAAAAGTTTTATTATTCCCACTGTGAAACATTACTCGTGTATTTTTTTTCTTCTTTTCTTTGTGACAAATTTAATAAATACAAGAAGGCCTCACAAACTATCCTTTTAGTTTTGTGCATTGCATGTAATGTCCATTTATTAAATATTATTTACACTATAAAATATTTTTTTATATAAAATCTTTGCAAATAAATAAATTTCCAATGATCAGAAAAAAAATGCAAAAATAAAACCATTATCATAATCATCATCATCAAAAAGAATAAATTAATAATGATAATAATAAAATACATTCTCCCACCCAAAAATACATTCTCCAATACTTCTTTTATTTCTAAAAATATATAGAACTATTTCATGTGATAATAGTTTTTACTGTATATCATACACATAAAGGAATATAATATGCAATCTAGACAGTAACTAAAATCCCTTCAAGTTATTGTATGCGAAATCAAATATAAACACAAGCGTTCTTTTTACTTTTCATAAATCTTCCCTACCCGTCGTTGAATTTCCATCAGACAAACTAACGCTCTAACCAGGAAAGCCTAACCCACACACTTCCTGGAGGGTACATGTGTCTCGCTTCAGAGACATATTACACACTGAATACTTGGGTTTCGAAGTATGAGACAAGGTACCTAAATGACTTACTCAGACCATGAGAATATATTTACAAAGATTAATAATAATAATAATTATGATGATGACAATAATAACAATAAATCATTACACAATCAGACCAGAATTTCATTTCTTTCTTCTGTGTAACTTCTCCTCTTCTTGCTCTTTTGAAATGCCAGGTACCACACCTAGACAAAATATATAACTTCCATTCACAGGCATACTTTAGGGCATCTACCTCCTACTCCTGTCACCTTCACCTGACAAATGGGGTGATCTCGCTTTCGAGCCTTGGGGAAGAGGTCTGGGTGCTAGTATGGTCGTAGTTCACGAGTCGCCGCCCAACCAGGTACTTATCATTTTTTATGTGTTCGTAAAGACGGGTGAACTGTACAACTTGCATGATGATGAGGGTAGACAGCAGTGTTATGATCAACAGTGCAGGATATATGCGACGCTCCACCAGGACCTTATAAAATAAAAACAAAATGTGTTTCCTGTTAGTTGTTCAACAATGAGGTTCAGATAATTTAATCACAATGACAAACTCTCAAATTCATGTCAAAACAGATCTTGATAAAACAACTGTTAAAAACATATACCAACAATGTGGCACCAACAGAAAAACAAGAAAGATATCTAAAAAAAAAAGATTACATGACCATAATAGTATAACATAACATAGCAGCAGAGCTTACCAGTGCACTAGGGGGTACAAAGAGAGGGCCAGTGTGTGTGCTGTGACATAGGGAATGGTGAGACAGGCACCTAGGCTTGCAATGACTGGAAGTGCCGTTTGGCCCACAAGGAGGTTCAGGTCCAGGCCACGTACTCCACCCAAGTAGATATGTTCCAGATTTGTCTTGAGCCACCAGTTTGGACCCATCATGACCAATGCACACATGATCTTTGTGTACAGGACACCCAGGGCCCAGTCCTATTTGAAGAAATTAAAAATGCATTCTAAAAGTGCACATTACATATTAGATTCTAGTGTCAACTGACATGCACCAAATAGCCTAAATACTCAATATCTAATCATATACACTATTTCATCATATAAAATCAAGGCAATATCTATATATTGTATTAATAAAGCAACACATTAGATGTTTACAAAATGAAAATGAATCTTCCAAAAATTATACATCCCAATCTTGAAGATAGAGAAATTGGAAAAACATGTATCAGTCATAAAACCTGTAACAAATTCAAAGGATTAATTCAAACACAACATTCATCACCAGGAATTCACAATCATTGCCCAACCATGTACCTGTTACTTTCTCTGTTCATAGAGATAACTATGCAGTTTGCATGATGTGGGTAGACAGCAGTATTATGTAATATACACAAAAATGCATGTAAAAAGCATGTCACCCCAAACAACTCACAACTCACCTGCCAGAGGAAGATGATTGGCGTCTGATGGAGGGGAACTCTCAGAGGGATAACAATGACCAACTCCATGAGAACGCCACCATCAATGGCACAATTACCGCCACAACCACTAGCGCCACTAGTGCCTTGGTGCCCTGAAATGGAATTTGTTTATTAGTTACACTAGCAAAACATGCAAAACGGAAAGCTACTGAAAAGAACTAAAGAAACTGCTCAATAAACATGTGACTAAAAAATGGTCCATATTCACTTTCTTCCTCATCACATACTCACCATGATGCCCCATTGCTTCAAGCGCAGGATGACTTGTGACCATCCCAGCATTATCCATGAGATGAGGAGAGTGATGCCTCGAATACTAAGCAAACACAGGTACAGACCACATGCACCAGTGTAGAGTTCATGAACCTTGAAAATAGAAGTCTATTAGATACTGTTCATATTACATTATCAACAATATTACTTCAATACAGTAAACTCTACAAGTTCCTTATTTCATTATTTCCCTATGGAATTAAGAACGTATCATATAATGATAATTTATCTTTACAACTTTATTACATCTACAATTCAGCCTATAATAAATGGCAATCATTTTTATACCAAAGACATGGGAATTTCACACAACACAAACAACTTACTTTGGTGTCACCAAGGGCAAGATACATGCACTGCCGACCCACTAAGACTGGAAGTGTCAGACATATAATGGATGCTGCTGTCAAGCTCACGCACATCATGACCACCAAGCCCAAGATACGCACACCAAACCATCTCGGCCGTACATAAGCCTGGAAACCTGGAAAGAATGCAAGACTTACGTGTCAATAATCCTCGAACCAACCTATCTTAAACATTAAGACCAGTGTAAGGAATATGCAAACACCAGGGCAGAAAAAAGACCTACCAGTCGGTCCATCTCGCTGGAGCAATGCCTGATGTGCTGCGCCAAGGCCTCCTCCCAAGGCATCTCCACCTCCAGGCCCTCCAACAACAGGGTTCACCAGGCCTTCCACCAGCTCGGGATCAGCCTGCTCTACTTCTACTGGAGGAGCAGCCGCACAGCTGCACACCTTCTCCAGCAGCTCCAACTGTGTCACCACCAATCACAACACCACCTCCCTACAGTAATAAAATCCATATTTATAAATATAATATAAATACCGATATACATTCATAAATATTTACAATATAGTTACTTCTGTAGAAATGCGACATATATTTTTATCCCTTTTGGAATACTAATACTTGTTATATGAAAAAGTCTTCAGGAAAATGAAGTTCACATATCACTTTTTACCAGTTTCATACCTGAGCGTCAAGAGCCACATCGCCAAGCAAGTATGATCTCAATCCAAGAATGTGAGACACAGCGGCACACCAGTGTCTGACCAAGAGCTTGAGCCAAACTCGAGTATGACCTTGTTCTAGCAGTGCTGGGAGTATCACCTGGAGCAACAGCAGCTCCAGCGACAGCTCACTCACTGGGGTATCACTGACAACGAAACAAATCATGTTGCTCGTCTCTTTCATAGTAAAACTTGAAACATCTATTCTTCACCATTTCATTTACTTTCAAGAATTCTCTATTTTTGCTAACTTACCTTGAGAGTGTAATATGATATGGTAAAAAGGAAGGCCATAGTCCATGAATGATCTTTATTGGAAGCCACAGCATCAACAACACTGTGGAACCGAATATGACCATGGAGGCCAAGAAACGTCGGGTGTGGCGCACATAGGCAGGTGGATCATCTAGGGAAAGCACAAGCAAAAATGGTCAATAGGGGCAGAATATAATGAATTGTGAAACAAACACAATGTGATAAAGAGGAAGGAAAGGATACAGCAGCTACAATGAGAAATGATCACCTTTTTCTTTTCTTTCTTTTTTATCTGCAGAATCTAAGTGTTTGACTGTGAATCCACATACTGACTCACCTCTTGAACAGGATTGAAGTCTGGATCATTGAGATTCCTGAGGAACCACAGCACACCTGGTCTCAGCACTTCCCGCAGGAGGAGGATAAACGAAGCAAAGTAGAAGACGTACACCATCCCCACCAGCCAATGGATGAACATGGATGTGCCTGGCGCCATCTTAAAGCTCACCTCTCGGTCCTTTTCGAATTAGAGGCTATTACTATCAAGCTTTCCAAGAATTCCAAAACTGATTCAAATAAACAAACATCAAAACATTAACGAGCACAGAATACACCTAAAATACTCATACTGTAAAACAGTGTTCCATTCACTACAATTTAAATCTCTCTAAGCCTATGAAAATAACTTTCCCAGCCATGTACAAACCTTTAGCGTTGCATCAAAAGAGAGAGGAACAAATGTCCAGCCACCAGCCACCTATCAGCGGGAAGACCCCAATCTCCACTACACTCAGCAGAGCAACTTTAACTACAACGTAACATAAACCTAGGACACGCTTTGACCTACAGGGTGAAAAAAAAAGAAAAACAATTAGTAAAATATTTTCATTTTATATATAAAGCTTTTTTTTTTAAATACCTGGAGATTTTTTTTTTTTTTTTACTTATTTCTGCACAATAAAGGCATACTGTGTATTTTCAGCAATGAACACTTAAAATCCCATAACAAGCTTTTTCAAATTAAGGGGCCGTCGCACTCAAGAATTATGATCAATTTAGCATATTTTTGATATGTTAAATATACATATACTACAATTTACACTACCAAGTTCATATCATTTGGATAATAAACAATGAATTATTTTAAAAAAACAAGATTTTGAAAAATTAAAAAAAATTAACGTATCTCACTTATGCATTAACTGAACTTGTTGAAAAAAAAATACCATATACTCTATAGCAATACCTATATTATAACGAGGATTTTGACATTTTTTCTTAGTTTAGTGGATTTTTTTTTTTTCGTTCATTCTTAAAGATATAAAGATATTTGGCCCCCTTAATCCTAATATCATAAAATTAGTAAACTCCTTTGCAGTAATCAAGTATTAATATTTAGTGATATCAAACCATTGCCAAACATACTATTGAAACAAAAAAGGAAATTATATGAACCAGTAATTGTAAACATGAAGAATATCTGAAAACACAGGACAAAATAATCAGGGAAATCCATCCATCTATTCAAATTTCTTTTCACATCTCACCCTTTTTTTCCAGCCTCTTCCAGATATTCAAGAAGAACCAACGGGAAATGTATTTCAACATTTACCTGTTAAGCTGATAATTGCAGCCAGTGTATGTTAATAGCACCAGCATAACCAACCACACAGGTACCCACAACGTGCTGTCAGAAGACCTCAAAATGTGATGCAGACACCCACGCTTTTAGCTTAAAACCAACTATGGTAAAGTGCCCGATGTGATATGGACAAAATGCTGTGAAGGAGAGAGAGAAAATGTTAGCATTGATAATAATTAATTGGTAGTCTTAATATCTGTAATCTAATTCAAAACAATATATAAATTCTCCCAATATAAGCAATCAACAGACTATTGCAACAATAAAAATCAATAAGTTAAACAGTAAGAAAATGAATACAACTGGTATGAAATCAAGAAAACCAATAACAATCAAATAACAAAAAACAAACAACTCACCAAAGACAAGTATGAACATAGTGTTGAGGGAGACCACCCAAAACACATGCTCCAGAAACACGAGTGAGCCGTCGAGACCCAGTAGACGCTCCCAGGTGAGCTCCTCGGCGGCCCTGTCCCACTCTATGGGGTTCCAGTTGAGGTCATCTGCTGCAGCTCCTGGGTCAAGGTTGTTGTTGCCTGGAGCTCCCTCATGGAGGATCTCACCCTCTCCTCCTGATTGGAAAGGGTGCTTAAAAAATGCTGTGTTCTAGGTTTGTTTTAGTTCAATACAAAATACAACAACAAAGGGAAGTACAGAAAAACATACAAATAAGAAACTCTTTCCTTTGCTATTTTGTTTACAATCTGCTCAGTATGAATCCTTCACAAGTGTTATGGAAAAGAGAGTCATTCTCAGACAAATAGGTCTTCAGATTGATAAATGAGTGTAAACCACCTTATATGGATGAAGTTTGACATTGTTTGAACCCAAAAACAATAAAAATAACAGCAATAATGATGATGATAATGACAAATACAGTAAGTGATGGTCATGTAATACAATGATATAGCAAACCAAAAAATTTCACTTCTTACTATGATGTCTACCACTTGCTGTGCTAAAGAAAATCTACTAAAACAAACCAAACCCATAAATCCACATCATTACCACGAACAAGAAAACAAAACTCCATCTTTCACCAACACAACAAAAATTCACAAAACTCAATCACTAATCAAAGAGAACTCCCAACTCAGGTCACTGCACTTCTTCGCCCACCGCCAGCAACTTGTCGGTTTGCCGACACCCCTGTTTTCTATAAGGCATCCCACAACAAGCACTCACCATTTTCTTGGACCCATACCACAACAAAAACATATCAAGAGCTACCAATTTCCTTTTAATTACACCACAGTGATGAATAAAATCTAGTCCCTACCTTCCCCTATATTTTGATTTGCTGGAACAGGAGCCAGCTCTTGATTGCCTGGATCATCATTGATGTCCAGGTTTTCGTTGGCCACTTCTTGCTGCTGCGGCGCAACATTTTCATTGGCCACTGGCACTGGAATTTGTCCATTCACTTGATTGACTGCTCCAAAATTTCCAGGTGGCTCATGCTGGGAAAAGACAAGATCTGAGTCCCTTTGACCCTTGAGTGGTTGATGCATAAAATACTGCAGATTTGCAGAGTGATTTTGAATGTGTAGAAGCCAGAGGTCTAATCACTCTGAAGGTTTTGACTGACATGTTCATAAGTGGGATATCTATGGATGAGTTTTCTCATCCTGTAGGAGTTTTGGTAACATCACAGGTCTATCTCTCCTTACATTATAGATATATCTATTTATATTTCCTACAAGGATTCCCCATTGTCATGTATGTCCAAGGAAAGGCAGCAAAATATACATGTTTGTTATGTAAACATTTTCATTCTCATAACATTTTAAATTGCTTTAAGAGGCCTATGTAAAGTATTTTTAAGGTGTCCACCAATAAACATCACTCAACAGTATGCTTAAAGTAACATCGAAAAATATGGAATATACTAAATGATATATGATGCTTAACTAGGAAAGCAAATTCATGACATTTCTAAATTACTGTGGATAAAAATTACTGAGAAGTATGAGTTATACCCTAACTCTATGTACTAGGCTGATATGACATACAAGAAATTTCCACTGTGATTTGAGTTTAGTAATTGTGTATACAAATGGGTGGCTCCCCAAGTACTTAGCAGCCAAGAAGCATTTGTGGAGCTACCTATGTGCAACGACATTCACAATGGACAAACTCTCACTTCCTCATACAAAATCTTACCTCATGCTGTATTTCTTGATCTAGCCAGTCTGGCCCTCCCCCATGGAGGATCTGTTCCCGCAACCAGACCAGACTGATAAAAGCACTTAGTGTGCATGTCACGACAAAGCACCCATGGAAGATATCTGACACTAAGTTGTCCCTGTGAATAAAAAAATGTAAAAAAAAAAAAAGTCATTTCATTCCTCTGCAAATCTTTTATACAACATGCATCATCAAGGTTCCAAATATATAAACCAATAGCCATAAGCTTACTTAAAAAGGGAAAAAGTAATACTTACGTTGAAAGCATGTCAAGTGGTAGTGTGAGCACTGAGGAAACTGAGCCTGTGAAGAGGCAACGATATATTCTGCAGGCTGTCAGCGGTACAACCCCAAGCCATGCCACAGCAACCAATGTGTAGTGCAGCCAGTAACGGATGGCTGTGCCCATGCTGCGTGCTAAACCAGCTAGGATGTCTGCTATGGGTAATCTCTTGGGCATGTCTGGCGAGTATACTGCAAAGGCATTTTATGCATTAATGGATATAAATGTATCAAAATGCAGACTGTTGCCAAAAATAAATAATATCACTTTTATTTTTAAATGATCATCTATATCAACTAATCAATTTATCTCTCTATATTGATACTCCCAAAGAAACAACAACAACTGTATTTACTTGGTGTGAAGTGGAAGCGATGTTTGCAGAGTTCGCAGTACTCTTTGCGGGAATAACGAAGCCATTGCACTAAACAATCTTGATGGATAAACTTAATGCTACCAGTACAGATGCAGGGGTGGAACAGAGGACGGTCGCTGGAACCCTCGCATCTACAAACGCGACATATATCTGCAAAGAAATATAGAAACTTTAAGAGTATAAAAAATGTTCCTCAATCCCAACTTTTTAAGACTTCTTATCATAAGGTCTTTAACTACTCTACAAAATACAGTTAAAATGCATCAAATCCCGTGTACTTTACACCATATTATATAAAAGCATGTGAATTCAGGAAGCTACAAGTCAAAACTTTCCAAGGGAGGCCAGCATTTATTTATTTAGGGCTGATTCTTTGGGCCTCCAGCTAAGGAAAATATCCCTGGGCTGCATCTGGCAAGAAATAAAGCAGTCTGCCCAAAAAACCTATACATAAACTACCAAATTCTAATTAACATGTTTATGTGTTTTTCTTTTTTTACCCCATTTTATTTCCAAAATTAAATGTATGCCAACTCGAGTTACCTAATGATACAAAAAATATAAGGTCATTCATTTCACAGTATCTGAATAGTGTACATCAAAAACTATTTGTAAATATACTTTCTATGGAAGTTTGAGCAAAGAAGTATCTTCAAGGCTTTCCCTGAATCTTCTACTATGACTAATGGGAGCACTCATTTACGTAACTTATTCATGTCATCTGACTTTGCATATGTATGAAGAAAATTTACTTCCTAAGAAGCTTAAAAGCCAGAGGTTAGTTGTATATCAAAATATACTAACATTTTCCTGTGTATACTACAAAGTTTGTGTTCAAATGGCTCAAATAGTAAGCATACAACCATCATACAGGATTTAAAAAGGATTTCTGACTCTACATCTAAACATATGCAAGATGACACATCATTTAAATACTTATGTGTCTGTGTCATTTAACGGCTTGCACATAGCCGCTCTTAGCAATTCACATTAATGACTTTCATTAAAAAGATTTTTTTTTGCCATGCTTTACACTACCTCACAACAAAATTGTCTCCAGTAATATCAATCCATATGAATTCTCAAAGTTATAATTAACACATTCCATACAAAGTTTCTTTCCTTTTAATCTATTTACATTCACTATCATGTTTTCAGGCATTTCACCAAAAAGGATTTTTCCATTTATCTTTTTTTTTGAAGCCTAATAATTAGGTAATACAGTTACTAAAATACTAACAATAGCTTCATGGCACATTTATATTTGAAAAGCATTTCATCAAAACAAAACAAAATGAATACTTCTGTCATATACATTTTTTACTGGTGATGATAATGATAATGATTATCATCATAATATCATCATTAATATTAATAATAACAATAATAAAAATAATAATAATAACAATAACAACAACAGCAGCAGCAACAACAATAATAATAATAATGTTAATAATCATAATAAATAATAATAATAATACTTGTCCAAACTGTTCACCGACTTCATCTGATTACCAACAATTTACGCTTCTGCCTTTACACAATGCCTCAGAGCGCATCAGGCAAACAATATTAATCACATTATACAAATGGTAAAAATCAATTTTGTAAGTCATGTTGCATTTTTCCATTAGATATTTAGTAAATGTGTGTAAATGTTACTTTTACTCATGACTATCAGCCATCACTATTTGAAATTACTGTCATTTATCAACATTTATCACATGTTACAACCATTTACATTTACCAACCATCACTTATGACTTTTCTTCTTAATCATTTCCTAAGGTTCATTATCTACTTCCCTGAAATATACCCTTCACTATCATCTTCACATATTTAGTATTCTTATTTCTTGTAATAGCTCATGATCATGATCATCATCATCACCTTCACTTGCTATTTCTGGCATTCTTCCAAAACAATCTGGCAAATATGAAGTTCATCCAGACTGCACTGTCTTTGTTTGTTTGTTTTTATGCTAACAAAGAACAGAACACACCAATTCATCTCAAATGATTTCTCAGGCAAGTTGCTCAAGATTTCTCTTATCATGCTAGGATTTATCAAACGTCATCTGTAAAGTTTATGTCGTTGCTTTGGCATGTGACCCAACAAATCGATCCAGTGCTATTCAAAAAAGGGTTAGGATACATTAGGTTTACATTAGGACAGATTCGTCTGCCTAGATCAAGTCAAGCTATAGGTTGGAATAGGTTGGCTTGGTAAATATTATATAACCTAATTTAGCCTAATGACAGATCCATAGTTTGTAAAGTTATGAAAACTTTGGAGCGTCACACTGTCACTGGAGATAACAAATATTCACTTGCACACGTGCACTTTATCTGGTCAACCAGGGGAATCCCCACCCATCTCCTGGACTTGAAGTACAGCAGGACTTTTATTTACTCTCTTTTAAGGTTATCCTTTTATTTTGTCTCTTTTAAGGAATCCTTTTATTTAGTCACTTTTAAGGTTATCAGCAACCTTCCAGTTGTCATGATATGGTAGTACAAATCTACGTGATAATAACACTAAACATCAAAATAAGTATAGGCAATCTACTCATATCTTTACAAAGTTCTCTACACAATCAATGACTGTCATATGTACTACACTGATCAACCCTTTTTCAGCCCTCCCCCCCCCCCTACATACCAAAATAAAAAGCATATAAATACATATGCATACATATATAACACAGGTACATAAAACCTGATAGCCCCACATTAGAAAACTGTAATGTCAGCATCTTCCAAAAGGACTTACAACTGAATGACCTGTGTGTAACATTATTTTGCAAAAATCTGGAGATGAACCTGCAAAGCCTCAGAAAGATATTTAAAATGAATAAACCCACTTATGCATACTGAAAGAGTTTACTTAAGAAACCTAATCTATATATAAATATTGTTCCTCTTTAAATTCCTTTAATATTCTATCTATGACAGGAATACGAATTTTTTATAATCTTTGTATCCTGATTTCAATTCATATATATATGCATATACATACATATATATATAAATATATGTTTATATGTATATATTTATATATATCTATACATATATGCATATATGCATATATACATATATATATATATATATATATATATATATATATACATATATATATATTATTATATATATATATATATATATATATATATATACATATATATATATATAAATATATGTTATATGTATATTTATATATATTATATATATATGCATATATATGTGTATATATATATATATATATATATTATATATATATATATATATATATATATATGCAATACATATATATTATATATAATTATATATATATATATATATTATATATATATATATATATTATATGTGTGTATATATATATATATAATATAATATATATATATTGTATGTATATATATATATATATAATATATATATATATATATTATATATATGTGTATATATANGCACGGCAGGAAAAAAATGTACTGTTCTTTTTCTAATTTTACTGCTCCGTGCTGTTTGTAAGTGTGTGTTGTATTCTGTGTATGAATTTTTCTTGCGCTCTCCTGTTTCTGTGTTTGGACTGCTGTCTATGTCATTATGTGCGAGTTTGTGTTGTGTGTATTGCATGTCTGTTGATGTGTATAATGTGTAGTTTAACGTCTCTTACAACATAAAAAAAAGAACGCATTCCACCTCATCGTTGCAATCGAAAGCAAAAAAAAAGAAGAAAAGAAAAATAAAATAAAAAGAGAGGCATGACCTAAGCCTGATCCCCACCCCATTACCAATAGAATAATGCATGTCTTCGCAATCTGAACAATCCCAGTGCAATACGGATAAAATGGGAGAAAATTCGAGCGAAATTGACCTTCCTGAGTACATGGACGGCTGTTGCTTATTAATTATTTCGCAACTTTTCATACAGATAAAGTTTAAAAGTAAATACACACATATGTTTGAGTGTTATATGAATATATATGCATAATAATACTTTATATATATATATATATTATTTATAATAATAACACACAACAGATATACATACACTATATATATATATATAATAAGGTGTTCAGAAAAGTTCCAGGATGACAAAAGCATTTAATTTTAAACCCAGAGTTCTGCACTGAGAGTTTTCCCTTTCGAAGTAATCCTTCTGGGCCCGGATTCACTAACATACGATCGTAACGCATTTACCAGAGTCATTTACCACCGCAGGTACCAGTAATGGTAAAGCGGTATTCACTAAGCAATGGTAACTCACCTTGTCAGTGTTACAATCGTAAATCGAAATTACCACTCTAGTTCCAATGGTAGCCAACAGATGGCAATCTTGGCGGTCTGGTAAAAGAATTGGACCAATCAGCGACCGCCATACACAATGCTTTAGGCGTCTTCGGCCAATCACGTAGCATGTAAACAAAGACCCAGCAGAAGAGCGCGGTTTTTTGACATTACTGCAAGAATGTCTTCAGTTTCTAAGAAAGGAGGCCAAACTTCACCCATGATGAGCTCATGGCGCTCATTGCAAATGTTCAGCTTCACCAGGAGATCTTAGAGGGGCCCCTGACTGCCACCGTGACCCATCAAATGAAGCTAAGAGCGTGGGAGGAGGTGACAGCAGTAGTCAACGCGACGGGCAAGACGTTGCGAAGCCCCGAGGAAGTGAAGCTGAAATACATCGATTTCAAAAGCCACACGAAAGAAGCTGAACTTCAGAAAAAAACTGCAAACCGCCACAGGTTAGTTTAAATGCCAGGAATATGTAGGCTTAAATATTCAGCGCATGATATAGATGAAGCTTAAACTTTGAAATTAGAAAATTGTTTGGAATAAAATCATAGTTCTGCATTATTGACTAATTTGTCTGAAATATCCTCAAATTATCTGACTTTATTGCTGTGTAATGTTTTCTGTAATAGTATTGGAGAGATTCATGTAATAATATTTGCAGGAGGCATCCACCTCTGACTCCTGCTGAGGAGGCCATGGCCCAGCTTATTAACCCGGCTGTGGTATATGGCATTTCTGATTCTCTGCAGTCAGAGTCTGCTGAAGCTGTTGCTGAAATCAGTAAGTAAACCTGAATCTAATTTGGACTTACTTCTCAGTGGTAACAGTTCTTTATATCTGATACATATTGAAAGTTATCATAGGAAGCTTTTGTTCTTGTTCGTAACAAACTGATAATAATGTGATGTCACATGTAATTATTGTTTATTGCAGCAGTTACATGGTGTTATGATGGACACACTAAGTAGTATATTGGGTTAATTTCATGTTCTTATCCGACAGCAGCCGTGTATGTTGAGGATGAACGTCTTTCTCCCATCACCGCTGAGCCAGTGACAGAAACACCAGTACATAGTAGGCCTAGCAGCAGGAGTTCTGGTACAGCGCAGCAACCGTTATCAGCTCGCATGCTGGAGGTACAGGAGGGTATCCTCGATGAGGTTCGAGGTATTCGAAATGCCCAGGAGGGCCAGACAACAGCTCTTCAGAATATTAATGCAACATTACTTGAGTTTACAAGCATTTTGAGGACTATCAAGAAACCATAATGTGTATTTATTGTGAAATTTTGTACCTTCCCCCCCCCCCCTCTCTCTCTCTCTTGCTCCTTTCTCTCCCATCCTCTCCTCTCTCTCTTTCGTTCTCTCTCTCTCTCTCTCTCTTCGTCATTTCCTCTCTTTGTTTCCCTCTCCCTCTCTTTCACGACTTATTTATTTTTCTATTGGTCTTTTGTTATGGCTTGTCAGATGTTAATAAATGTTGAAATAATAGTGCCTTTGCCTTAGGTCACAGCAAATCCTTGAAATTTAAACGTGGCATCCATACTTTTCCTTATCAATATGTGGCATTGCATATTAGTTTGTTTATATATATATATATATATATATATATATATATATATATATATATATATATATATATATATATATATATATATATATATATATATATATATATATATTAAAGGAAACATTGTCACACAAGAAAAACAGGCATAACCATTGGTTCACAAGCGTATTTATTTACACAGATATATTTGCACATTCCAAAATTAATCCTTTCCATATGAATTACAAATATTTGCTACGGGAAAAGCTATAGAATACAAACTCAACTAACATATAACCATCTTTGGTAGAAAATAAGACATAAATATGAAAAACTCCTCAAAGTCAAATCCACTTTAAAAACAAACTCATTAATGCCAAAGAAAAGTCTCCCATACGACTAGAAAATCAGAATGAGCCATTTATTAATGCCACCCTCTCCTGCTGAGCACTTCTCTCAGGAATGAAATTCATCACTGCTTCCTCGGGTGGGTCGTCATTTTCTAGGATGTCTTGGAAAGGTATGCCTCTTTTGACACAGATATTGTGCAGAAGCATGCAACAAGCTACAATTTTTTGCACACTTTTCTGGCGTATATTGGAGTGCACCACCTGACTTATGCAAGCAGCGGAACCTACTTTTCAGCACCCCAAAAGTTTGTTCTATAACTGCTCGTGTGCGAGCATGGCTACTGTTGTAGCGTACTTCTGCTGCCGTTCTTGTTTCTGCCAGAGGTGTCATGAGGCAAGTTTCAAGAGGATATCCTGAATCCCCTGCAAGGCAACAATAAAGTACTTCGGTCAACTGTACATATCTATGACTTTACAAATGTATATATGCATATGTATATCTCTATCTATCTATCTATCTATATACTTACCAAGTAAGTATGAGTGCCCGAACTGTTGTTCTTGGAAGTGTCGACGCAAAAATGCTGTCATTCCAGATGTAGGAATCATGCACACTTCCAGGGAATTTTGCAGAAAAACTCAAAATTCTCGAACTTGCATCCGATACTACTTGAACATTTAAAGAATGGACCTCTTTCTATTTAGATAAAGATGTTCTTGCCTTGGAGCTTTGATTGGAATGTGGGTACAGTCAATGGCCCCCAGCACGTTTGGGAAGCCACAAACTGCGAAGAAGTCCTGTTTGATCTTCTGAATTTCTTCCCTCCTACGAGGCATCTTTATGTCCCTCTGAGCTATGTTAAAAATAGCATCAGTCACAGCATTTATGATGCGAGACACACTGGACTGGCTAATTCCAACAGAGTCCCCTATCACACTCTGAAAGCTGCCACTTGCGTAGAATCGCAAGGCAACCAGCACTTGTGTGGCCACAGGTACTGAGTGGGACCTGTTGGTGTGTCTTGAAATATGGGCCCCGAGGCTTTCGCACAGCCACTGAATATCATTGCGAGGGAACCTGTAGTATCTG